GTCACCAACCACCCCAACAGGCTAGTCAAATTAAATAAATTGTTAAATATTCGGCTAAGGTTTATTAATAACTTCTTATATTAAATGCAGCAATGGTCTTATAAACGCATGCCCCTAATTAAAAACCGGTTCGGAACTGTTTTAGTAAACTACTGGACCAGTACATTCCTTCCGTTACCTACTTTGGTGGTTCCACAAATAGTTGTTTGATGATACATCATGACAGTGGAATCTGCCGCGAGCCCAAGCATGTTATATTTTCTTTTTATATTTTTTAAATTATTGGTAGACTGAGCTATGGAAATTCTCATAATGATAGTGTTAGAGTAGGATTTGGACTTATGATTCACACCTAAATCCATCTGCATAATAAATTCATTTTTTCTACCATTACTTTCCTTTTCTCTTCCAATTTTTAAATTTTTATTTTGGCGTTATAAAATATTGGAATCCAAAATGTAGTGGAATTGTTTTTTATATTTACTTACCTTTTTCTACCCTTCAAAGATTTTGTTGCGAGTTTTATTTTAAAGATGACAAATTTTCTTGCAACGAGCAATGTTTTGATACCAAGTTTACTAGTAAATTTAGACAATTCAAACAGTAACAATAAAAGCGCTATACTGTTTTAAAAAAGTTAGCGAATATTTTTGAAACTAAGATGTTACCTGTATACTTTCTTCTCGCAAAAGTTTACATTTCTATTAATAGATGTCGCTGTACTTTGAACACAGAGAAATTTCCTTGGCATTTAACTTACTTTCAAATTCATTTTATGCAAGAAAAATATGCTGTTCATAAAGCCAAATAAATATAAAATATATAAATTTAAACGTATTAAGTTACTGAAATATCAGTGAGTGCCTGTAGATACAAACCTAGCAATGTTGCGAAATACGATATTGTTTCCAAAGAAAGTCGTGAATGCTTTCACTAATGGTAGGTTTTGCTCAATAATTAATAGTAGGCGTAAAAATTGACATGTGATGATATTTGGAAAAGGGTTTAATTAAACTCCAAGGACTATTAAGTGCTATTAAGTTTTTGAAACGTTTCAGGAATGCTAACACCTGTATTGCTAGTAATGTTGCCTGCGTGGAGTATTGGCAAAATTATCTCTTTGTTATAATTCTAAATTATTGCGGTTGTGGATCTTATTTTGTGTCCTATTTCACCATGGGTAGAAAAATTGGGCTTCCCGAAGCGGGCAAAATATATACCTAATCTTTTTAATAATATGAGTAGTATCTTTCTATAATTGTGAAAAATATCTCGAGATTGGTATAGTCAAGAATTTCTTGTTTAATTTCACAGGCTTGCAAAAGATTGATCCATGATCATTTCTATATTAGAGGTAAAGTATGCGGTTTTAATCAGTTTAACTTTGAGTGGATGTTTTTTTTTTATACTCAGTGAAATGAATTCAGGAGTTATCATATAGAAAAGAGAAGTTTCGTGAAACCATACACGTGCAAATAAAACATGCACACGAAACGAGCTTCCGCTCGAAAATCCAAGGTCAAGATAAAGCTGAATACTTTGACAATGACATAATATTTTTATTATTACTATATTGAATTAAATATTGTATTAATATGTTACATTTGTTGAACATTTTTTTTAATAGAAGATAGCCCTTTGCTGTGTGTTTAGTAAAGGGCATGTAAAATTTTACTATGACGTTCTTAGTAAAACAGCGAAAAATACAACAGCGCAAATAATGAGAACAAATAAAAATGGTTTCGTAACGTATAAGACAAAACCTTCACTGCACAAGTTCATGGCTGGTGGAAGTCAGTAGCGTACAATTACTCAACCACAACAAAGTCAAGATCACTGTCATTGGTGAATGTTTTGCATATTCTTAAGATTGCAGTTTCATTAAATTTGAATGTTGGTTGGAATTTAGGCAGAAATAATAGTATTATTTCCTTCTATTAGGTAGGGGTCAAAAGCATACTTCTATTATCATTAAAATTTAAGTAAAAATGTTTGCTTTAAATGCTTAGGATGTTGATAATCGAAGAAACGACGTGGTTAAAGAGGATAAAAACCCGATTAAAGTGATAACTTCTTAAGGCGCGTTGGACATTTTTGGACAACAAACAAATAAATGTATTTTTTTGTGATGGGAAAAAACCATTGAACTCGGGACACTGTTACCGTTCCCGACACCTCTGTATCGTATATTTATTGGCCCCGTTTATACGAAAGCTGAGTTTGGATGGAAATACATTAATAATATAACTATATATATAATATAAACATATATTGTGTATATACGTACAACATAGATATATGAATATGCATAGATATATGCATATTCATGTTGGAACTTATCGAATCGGAAATAACATCAAAAAAACCTGTTATTTCTAAATGCCTTTTTTTCTCTAAATGCCAGGACCCTCCATAATCGTGAGATATCTAACCTCAGGAATTACTTCCTTTCTGTTAATGTGGAGATGCATAGGGATGTAGTAACAGTTAATAATGGACTCATTCCGCTTGGTCTAGGTAAAAAGAACTGGCGCAACTTTGCAGTACTCAACATTACTGATCATAAGGAGATATGGAAGGGCAAAGAGCTTCATGGAGTTTTTTATCGGGCCTTGAACAGGCCTGAGGTAGACCAATCTGTATTCTGTTTACGATTCGATGACCTCTTGAAGAAACTAAAGCTTTTGTCTTTGCAATTACTGATGAAGTTGTTATGACGAATAATTTTCGGAAGTATATCCTTAAGGACGGCACAATAGATATTTGTCGGGCAATTTATTGTCCTGGTGAAAGCCTCAGACATATAATTTCCGGTTGTACTTGTCTTGCCAACGGCGAGTACTTGCATAGGCATAACCAAGTGGCCAGGATAGTCCATCAGTAACTTGCTCTTAAGTATAACCTTGTGACTGTGGAGTTACCGTACTATAAATATGTGCCTGTTCTTGAAAATAGTCGTGCAACGTTATACTGGGATCGCCCTATTATCACTGACAGGACTATTGTTGCGAATAAACCTGTTATAGTGATAATAGACCGATTAGAGCGCCGAGCAATGATCGTTGACATTAATATTCCGCATGACGACAATCTCTTGAAAGCTGAAAAGGAAAAACAAGTAAAGTATTTGGATTTGGATTACGAGATTATCGACATGTGGGATGTGGATTCGGCAATCGCTGTACCGATAGTCACATCGGGCCATGGATTAATTGCTAAGAGCCTCGACCAACATCTTCAGAGGCTCGCGTTAGGCAGTTGGATTAAGGGCCTGATGCAGAAAGTAGTTCTTCTCGATAAGGCACGTATTGTGAGGTTTCCGTCTCTGGAGTTCTAACCACCGATATCTTGGTCCCTGAACCCGATACCGATGGTACACTATTTTTTTTATATTTTAAAATGTAATTTTTTTGTACATAAATATATTTGAAAATGTAATTTAAATGTATATTTAATGAAATAAAGAGATTAATAATAATGTCACACATCTCACACACGGCCGTTCAAGTATGGTCATATATCCAACATAATCGTCCGTCGTGCTAATGAGGAGGCTACTAAGGTGATCATTCTCTTTTACAATACTGACCCTAATAATGATACATGATCTCTCTGGTGGAGTAGGCCTGCATTGTTTTTACCACTTTCTGTCACTATGTTAAAGAAATGAATGGAATTTATTTCACCTTGGAAATACTAAGTAGCATAGTGAGTAATTATTGAAGCCGCAGTTGGTTGGTAATGAATTCATATTATTCTAAACGGGTTTTACTTCTAAAAGTAATAAGACAGTTTGGTGAAAGACATAAGAAAGCCGTCTGCTCTATTGATGTGAGACAGCTGTGAAATATCTAAAAGAGAATTATTCTATGATTTGTGTCAACGTATAAAAAAGAAAACGTGTTGCCTTAGATATCGTTACTGTTTATTCATTCTGGATTTAGCATTAAATATGCGAATTTGAGTTTGTGTTATTGACAATAACTTTGCCCATAATTATGCAATTTTGCTTACACAATTTATACTCATAATGTGTATGCAAAATGCATCCTCATGCAGGAAAAGATATAGGGTACCGTTCAGACAGAGATTCAACACTTAAAATGATTGACAAAATCTACCTACCATATCGCAATAATGGAAATATAAAGTATATACTTTGATGACCTACTCATTTACGGCTTTAATGACTAGATTCAGAATGGCACAGGTGCATATAAAATATTTTACGAACAAGTGTTACAAGCTATGTTTGAAGTATATTTAATATATTAACTCCTGTACCTAGATGTTATGATGTAAAAGATTAATAAGTGAAACAATGTATTCAGTGCAGTTTGGTGTATTTATAAATACAGAAATAACTATTGTGACCACTAACATTCACACTAACACATAGGACAACATAAAGACAGTTCGTGATACACGATACAATACACGATTTGTAGAAATTTATGAAAATACCATAAATATATAGAGATCATTATTAAAATAGTAATAAATAACTATAAAGGAAATAATAATACACTATGAACTAAAAATAAATTTTGTAACTGTTATAATAAGGCGTGAATTCATACACATGAATTCATATACGCAAAAATAAATAAATATCTGCAAATTTTTTGTTAATTAATACGTCTTTTCAATAGGAAAATAAATATATATATAGATCATAATAAAATAAAATAAAAAAACTTAAATAGCTATTAACTTCACATAATAAATTATTTGAAATATTACGTATATATGTATACCTATTAACAGATATATTTATAAAATAACTAATGATACTATCACATAAACTAAAAATTTCCTTTTCAGTCAAATTAAAAATCACACTACATATTTGAATACATAAAATGACTGAAAAGAAAAACGAAGGCAAAAATAAACAAAAAAAAAACTCTAGAGTCACTCCATTCACACTTAAATACATTCATTCTGGTAGTCTAACTCTCATAGTGGAATAATAAATATTTTATTTGGTTGCCAGCTCCTTAGATTCCATATGCGGAGTAAGCCATGCTATTGCCCTCATTTCTAGAACGAGACCAACCACCTTCCCAACCGTGGCCATGGCCATGTTCGATTGCGACTGGGTGATGTTCAACGTGGGAGTCCCAACCATGCGGTTGCCAAACTTCTTCCTGAGCGTGTTTCTTTGCTAAAATTTCCTTGATGAGGGCGATCAATTTGATAATAAAAGCGATCTTGGCGATTAATGCTAACTTGAAGAGCGAGACAGCGATAACGACCAAGGAGAAGACAGCCACAGCCACGGCTTTAGCTTTAGCCAAAAGTAACAGAGGAATGATCATTTTAAGCTTCTTTTTGATTTCCTTCTTCTTTTTTTTGCCACGGCCTTCTTCAACTGTAAAAGAGTTAGATGTTAGTCAAGTTTTCGTTTGACACATAAGATTTAGTGCTGGAAATAAGTTCAAACTTGTTGCTTTCCAAGTATTTTATTTTGAATTTTGCCTCTTTTAACTATCCTTATAAAAGGTATTACGTCACATACTTCCCTTCGTCAGTCTATCAGAACTGAATTTGAGAAAAAATATTTAGCAAATTTTAAATTTACAAAAAATTGTTAGGTCCTTTTTGGTATTGGAAATGACCAGATTTAGTTAGGATAACTATCGTAAGCAGGTGACTAAAATCAATATATTGTAACACTATCTGACAAATAATTCAGGTTACATTGTTTTTACCATTGGACGATAAGACATGAACATTACCTGCACCAAAAGACTATTATTTATTAATTTATTGTCTTAATCATCACTCCATTATTTAGTTAATAGTCGTTTACATTTTCTTTTGCAATATTGAACTGGAGTGTCATTGTACTTTTATAATTAATATCTCGGTAATTCAGTAGATCCATCAGTTGAGTTTATATGTACTGCATTAATGATTAATAACGGGTCTCAATACACTATCCGGTTATATTTGAAAAGTACAACATCTACCTAATCAAACATTTTTGTGCTCAATTAATTGCGAGCTATTTGTCCTCATTATTGATTCTTTTAAACTGTAGTTTTTGTTTCTATCAAAACTTTATCGTGAGATGCTTGTATAGTGAATACGGGTCAGTTATACTTGTTTGGACCACTGATTGAAATGATTAAGTTGAATTTCTTTCTGCATCCTCATCGAACGCAATATTTGAAATAGGCAAATGTAATACTTCCAAATATACATATCCTTTAATGCTTACCGGTCTCCTCAAGGGACCTGGATTTATCTTCAACATCTTCATCGCCACCGTAGCTCAATTCTAATTCCGAAGACTGCAGGATGTCGTAGGTAGTGTCCCAAAGTCTTTCTGTGACTTGTTTGTTTCTCAAGTCAGTGTCAGTGGAGAGTGTCTCTAGGCTCCTGGCTTCTTTAGGATTGTTGTTCAAAATTGTGATCCCATCAATAATTGTGAGTTTCCGTGCAGCACCAAATCTTTCAGCGGCTTTGAGGGCATGTTCCTAGAAATTAAACATTGTTAGATGAAATGGTGGTCATGATAATAAAAACTATGACAATATATTTCTTTGAGAAATTTGACTAAGAAATTTACAGCAAGTCTCAATTCTATATAAAATAATTTTTGATTCATTGTTTCTTTGTGAAAGTAAACCCTTGCTTAAATTTACACTTGACCTTTCTATTGTCAATTAAGTAATAAATATTGTATTTTTAATGACAGTCATCAATGGGACCGATTATCTGCCTGTAACTAATTTTGCTTTGACGCATCTAACTTGACCTACTAGTTATTTGTCACTTTCTCTGTCACGTCTTATTTGGAAGGATTTATGAGCTTCTATTTCCTATCTTTGAAGTAATCTCGGATAGGATATTCTTTTAATTATTTCACTTTTAAAAGTTTTCAAAAGTTTTTTTTATATATTTTAAAGACGACTCCCGCACTAGGAATATATCCTATTTCTGTGTAATCCTGTATCACGGGTAATTTTACAACCATACATGAAACGGACACAAAGAACACCCAGACTCAAAACAACAATTTGTGCATCACACAAAGTGTTGTCCCATGTAGGGATCGAACCAGCAAACTACTTCGCCATCCGTGCAGTCAGTTTCATAGTGTTTCTACGTTAATAATATCCTTCGGTACAATTCCTCTCAATTTAGTTTAGATTTATGTTCTTGTGTATTAAAAATTATAATATTGTCAATTTTAATAGTTAACATTTAAAAAATAGTTGTTAATGTAAAAAAATAGTTATTTTAGTTTTGAACCTGCCACAAAACACAACTTTTAATATTTCAACTCAACTATTAAATAAATTTAATAACTGATATAAGCAACTTTTTATATGAAACTCGTTACAGTAAATGGCGCGTCGAATTCCTAAATTCACTGTTTTCAATAACACTGTTTAAAAACGATCGGAGTTAGATAACGCCTATGAATCACATCACAAACACTTCACATACCTTCATGCACAGACTCAAATCACTGTTACAACTAACGAGATTTCCTATAACTGAACGGAGCACTGACTCTTCTGAGGTAACAGGACCACATGATGCCACAACGACAACACTGAATATCACCACAAGAGACTTCATTTTCCTTCAATCTGATGTATCAGTCCAATCCAAGATCGTTCGAACTATGATAATATTACGGTCAGAACAGTTTTTATAATCGATATCTCCCCACTATCACGCTTAAAGAATTAGCATATTAAAAACATAAATTCCATATAGAAATTTGACGACACCATGCAAAAGTTCGTGGCATACTTTGTTTCATTAATATTTATAATTTTGTTTAGGTTGTTGGTTATTTTCGAGCTTTTAAGGTTTATATTGGAAGTAAATTATTGGTATAGGCACTTTCTCCAGATACCAACAAAGTCAGATTAATCATTTTTTTATAATGGCTGCTTGTGATACACCTTCCTTTTCCTTCATTACATATGCATAATTTAATGAATAGGCTTCGAAAACTTTTTTACAATATTAATACATCTTATAATTTCTTAAACAGTATTTATCTGGTTTTATTAAGGATGATGCATATTTACGATGTTCGAAAACAATTAGTCATTAACTTTATGTATATCGACAGAAACGATACCTTCGAAGATATAACTGTGAGGGTTTTAAAACTTAAATCGTCATTTCTTAAAAATAATCAGCAACTGTTTTAAGTCCGTCCGTGGTCCGTGTGGTCACTGATTAAGGATACAGAGTGTCACCACCCCTATTCATCTGTGTCAGGACAATTCTCATTCAACTCTTCTCAACTCAACTCTTCTTTGATACAGTGTAAAGCAAATTGCAAAGAAGTTTTTGTGCCTTTAATTTTACCGTAGGCAATACCGTAAGTAGGCTAAAACCTCCTTCCTGAGGAGAGGCCTTTGTCCAGCAGTGTATTGTATTAAAGTCTGTTATGATGATAAATTTTACCGATGTATGTTATGTGGAAAGCAAAGCAGTCACCTCGCTGCATCATACTTTGCTGTTTTCGATCCCCGCATGGAATAACTCTTGTGTAATCCACCTAATTTGTTCTCAGTCTGAGTGTTCTTTATGCCCGTTCATGAATGTTTGTAAACTCCACCGCGACACAGGATATTACCCGTCTTTTAAAAAAAAGCAAGAAATATTAATGTTATAATAATATTAATGATAACACATCACGTATATCGTCTGAGATCAACCTAGGCACGGCCTACTTTAAAATTTCTAAATACAATCAATATATTTAAAATGTTAGGTTGGTTTGTGTACCCTTCAAAAATTCATAAAGTTCTGCACCTAGTGAGCTTTGACTTGATATACAACCCGATTCAAGGATTGTTTTTATCTACTAGTTTTGTTTCTCATTACTAATCAATGCAAACACATTGTGCCACAGCGGACCGTGGCAGGGTACAGCTTATAAGACAAAAGAAATGATGTACCCACAAACACGAGGCCCTAAATTATGACAAATTGTTTTACCTAATGCGTTTTGAGTGTAGTTATTACAAACATAATAAATTTTCAACTGAATAATGTTGTTTCGTCAAGTAAGTTGTAATAATTATTTGCTAGATTTATTTCATCTTTGGTTTCTTTAGTTTTTGATTCGAAATTTCTTAACTCTTGAGAACTAAAATTTGTTGGAGATGATTCTTTAATTTCCTGTGTCTGTATATACTGTATATATTTCTGTGTCTGGATATTTGCGGAGGCTCACGTTGACTGTTTCTATACCGTCATGCGAAAACGATGCGCATCCCTGGTGCGCAGGGTGTGGGTCAGCTGCAACAGCATACTGATGATGATGGCGAGTAGACTAGATTGTCTATATATGACTTATTGCATCGCGGTTTCAGCCGCGCCTGTTGATAAAACATACTAATATGGCTGTAAGTTCAAATTGTTACTAACATCTTTGAGTCTTAGTTACTCCAATAAATAATTTAATTTATACAGTATCAATGATTAATTATGTTTTATATTTTGGTGTGGAAGAATATTTTAATAATTTAAAGCATAAGTAATGTTTAAGAATAGGATGGTTCATGCAAAATATAACCACGATGAATAGAAACTTATTTTTTTGTATTTAAAATCTACTCTTGCAGTGGTAGCGTATGCGACTGCTGTGCTAAGGTCTCGGGTTCGATTCCCGGGTCAGACCAAATATTTGTATAATCTGCAAATATTTGTTTGGATGTTGTTCTATGTGTAACATGTATGTATTAACAAAAAAATGTAGATAAGTATTCTATCAGTCAATCTAGTTTTCATAGTACAAGCTCTACTTAGTTTGAAAGTAGATGGCGTTGTGTGTCAGATGTCCGAAAAAAAATTAACCCTAAAACTTATTAGTTAGTCCAGTGGTTAGTGATCCTGAATGCTAAGCCAGAGGTTGTGGGTTCGATTACCATCACCCACCCAGGTTAAAAAAATTATTATTAATTATTCGTCAATTAGTATTGTATATTTAGAAATATGTGTATGTTTGCCGGTTCAGGGTTCGAAGTTCATCTAATACGTAATTTGTTTAACTTCGTGAGTTTAACTTAGTAAGAAGATTAGTTGCATTTATTTTTACCTACTCTCTGAGCTGTGAAGATACCCAATAGATATAATGTTTCTAACTTCTTAGGCACTTCATCATCATGATCCTGTACGGGACTGAGGGGATCACGTAAAAGGTATCATATCTCATTGCCTGACGTTTCGACCAGGTTGCACCATTGGTCACTGGTTTGTCTGTAATTGAGTTGATTCTTGTATATTAATGTATCGTAAAACGCAAAAGTTTAATCGTTAATTTATTAAAACAATGGATTTGTTTTGTGATCTTTAGTCTCTCTTATCTATCTATCTTAAATCTCTTATACTCAAATGCTTGTAGTACATTAATATCCATTAATATAGAACATAAATCTGCCAAATATGCAGATATTTCCATAGAAATGTTATCTATTTGTAACTATCAGCAATTACAACACAATAAAATTTATTTTTGAAGCACTTTTCGCATATGTAGTTTAAAAAGAAATAAATATTGTTTGAATACTGTCAGTGAAGTTTAGAAAATATTGTATTACAATCAATAATGTTCTGCATCCTTCTAAGAACGTGTTGCGAATGTAAAGAAATGCAGCTTTCTTCAATTTCTTAATAGAAACCCTTATTACTTTTTGTTGTATCGTGCTTTTAAATTTACTCATATTGAAGTGCTTTGTTTTTATTCAGTATTTTTTATATCCTATATGCAACCAAAGGTCAACTAGAAAACTAACAAATACTATTAGCCTGTTAGAAAGCGCTCGACTCAATCTGCAAAACTTACAAACAGTGAGACCAAATAGTATCTACATACGATACTATTTCTGCAGAAAAAAACAACACTGCATTTTATTTAATTATCCCATAACTTTAGATTGCCTGAAATAGAATTGCTTTGTAAATATACCAACTAAGAATAAGACTGTTGGTCAGTTTATTGGTTATTTCTGCAGTTTCTTAGTCATTTTCTTTTGGAGTTTAAAAACCCTATTATAATTGGTTTAACTTCTGAGTGTATATGTAGGTAATATTTACGGACAGTTAAATTTTAGATGTTAATATAAATGCAAATACGAACAATTTTCTTTGAATTTACATGTTATAGTTTAAGTATAGGTTAGTTGTTCATTGCTTATAAAGGCAATCATGTTATCATCATTGTTCAGAGTTTTACCATTTAATTTTATGTATTTTTATTTTTTTTATTTTTTTATTCTACCACATACACACGACGCCATCTAGTCCCAAACTAAGCAGAGTTTGTACTATGGGTACTAGACAACTGACATAAATACATATTTACTTTTTTTTTTTAGTAAATACATACATATTATGCATAGAAACACCCAGACCAAATCAAACATCAAATGTTCATGCACACAAATGTTTGACTTGAGCGGGAATCGAACCCGCGACCTTTGGAATGGCAGTCCGTTACACAAACCACTACGCCATCCGGTCGTCAATGATACATGTGTGTACTTTAGATCAGGCTCTATATTAAGTTGAGTTTTAATGCTTTTAAACATCAAGTTGAACGAATTGGCTCTACACACTACTATACAATAGATTGTTTAACGTTTCATTTAAGTAAACTTATTTATCTCATCAACAGCCTGTAACAGTCCACTGCTGGACATAGGCCTCTCCTTAGAAAGAAGGTTTTGGTCTACTATATCACAGACGGGTTGGTATAGGGTTTTTTTTCAAGTTTACCTTCTCTTTGCAGTGCTGCTATTGGTGGTGGTGGTGACATTCTGTATTCTTAATCCGTCACCACACGGATCCGTCACCACATGGATCATCTTATTTATCTACCATTTTGCATAAAGTATAATCATTTAAAACAGCTATATTACTTAGTTTACCTTAAAAAATATGCCTCTCCATTTTGTTGTGCAGCCAACGCAAATAACCTTATCAATAGACTTTCAATAAAACAATAACATAACATTAAAATAAATATTTATTTTAATAAATAAATTAAAACTGAGGTACTTGAACATGGCATCAAACAACACACCCACACGAATAAATACACAATCATACTAATTCAGTTCAGTCGGAAATGTGGCCAGAATAGGCCAGGGCTGCACCATCGCTAGCTTTTCTACCCCATCCCTGAGGGGCTGGTTCGTAGTTGTATCCAGGATGATCATCTTGCTGAGGAACACCATAAGACGTACCCATACTCATTCCACCTTTCTTTGACATAAGTTTTCTTATTAGATTAAAGGCGCTCATAGCGAAGGCAATTTTTCCCAAGAACACGGCCTTGACAGCAACGATCGCAATGATTCCAAGGAAGATGGGGATGAGGGCTGCAAACTTAAGTTTTAACAGCAAAAGGAGGGGTAACAGCTTCTTTAGCTTCTTCTTCTTCTTCTTGCCACGACCTGGAAACAATTAATTACGTTAATAACTACAAAAAACCATACTTCTTTTCTGTTCTAGGGCTCAAGATGCACACAACAGTTGTTATGATCTTATTTTAAATTAAAATCAGACAGGAAGTTTTGACTTCTTATTAATCTTATACTGAGGTATTTCTTTGAGAGAAGAAATTCACAAAAATAGTGGTAATAGTATTTCGTGTCCTAATTTTTTTTACGGGAAGAAAAACAGAAGAACCCGTAAAATGCCGTTTAAATTTAAATTTTTAAATTTTGTTTTCATTTCAACACATTTATTTTATTAGAAACTATGAAATTACTCAACAAATATTTGTAGAACCTACTAGGAAAGGGTATTGTTTGACAGTTTTGTAAATACATATAGGAGAGAAAGTCAAACAACCTAGGTTTCTTCCATTGTTTGGAACCCGTTTGCACTTTAGTGGCGAGAAGTTTCTCGAGTTCTGACAATAGCAAAATTTATTGCCGTGCTAATGATTTTTTGTTATGTAAGGTTACTCCCTACAAGGATTGGTTACTGAAAGAAATATTTTGTTGTTGAATGTATTACAGAGTGATGGTGATGATGATTGAAATATAGTTAAGTAAACCTGAAAAAAAATACATCACCTTTTTATTACATCTAAGAGGTGTAATAGATTGTTACTTCACCGTTTAATTCATTACCCCACTTACTACCAACATTTTTAAATTTTAAAGATCTCCTTGAAACTATATCTATGGTTAATTCTATTTCAGGCTGTATTGGAATCGTGTAACCATTGTGTTATCCACCTTGCAGAAGACTATTGTTAGTTCTTCTTTCCTATTCTAGCTTCATAAAGTTGATGAGAGGTAAAATTTACTTGATGGAGTAAGTCCAAAATTCCAAGTTAGTTGCTAGATCTACCATAAGATGGTCTAAAAGCATTTTGCTATTATCCATTATCAGTGAGTTTATCTTACCTTCCTCATCAAGAGACCTCGATTCGTCATCAGAAGCAGACAAACGTAACTGCAGTACGTGGTTGTCCAAAAAGTCATCGACGTTGTCAGCTATTCTCTCGTTGATCTGTAGTTCTCTGGCCTTTGGTTCATCAGACAAAGGCTCGTAGCTGCGAGATGATCTCGCTGATCCAGTATTCACTAAGGTCATGCCCTCGAAGATGTTTATATCTTTTAGGAGGGATAACCTTTCGGTAAATTTTAAGGCCTTTTCCTGAAATATTATATTTAAAGTTTATTATTTGTGTTTTTATCAAAGTTTTTTCTTCTATTGATTTTGATACGTGTCGTTTTTACTTTAAATTTTAAATCTTTGAAATTTAATTATTTTACTTTGTTCAATTTTGCAGACTTTATCATAGACTGTAAAGTATTATTAAATGTAATATTAAATTTTACATATTATGAAATATTAAAAAAATATCCCGACATAAATAAATGAAACGTTTTTCTTCATTTCTTAAATGGATAAACGATGTATTATGTTTATATGTAAAATCCATTGTTAAATAAAACGTATTAGTTGCAAACTAAATGGACATCATTTGGTTCCAATAAAACTCATTGGAAACGAGTCACTGACACTTCACAAACACTATCTTCTCCACAATATTCACCTTCAGACATAACGATGTATCTGTTTCTATGCACTCAGACACAGCACCCACTAAGTTTTCCGCAACACCTTTTACTTGCACTGGGTTGCACTTCACTGCAGCCAATATGGCTAAAAAAACAATCTTTTTCCACATTTTAAAATTTAAAAATTCCACATCCAGTGAATGCTTGTACCTCAAGTGCCAACGTCGGTAAACTTATGATGATTTACCAAAAAACTGATGGATTTTATCCTTCGCGTCCCCACCACAATTTTTGACAATATGACGTAAAGTATGTGCGCGCTGTTTGAAGTCGTGTGCTAACTGTTCGGTCGTAGATCGCTTAAGCTCACCTCAGGATAAGTAGGAAAATAAATATTGGATGTTAGAAAGCGAAGTTTGCGCTTACAACATCTAAAATACGCATACGTTTGTGAACACAGTGTAAATTGAACTAAAGAAAAAGTTCGATTGTTTGATTTTTCGTAAGACCATAAAGTGAAAATGAGTGTCGTAAGTTCTAAGAACATGTTGTAACATTAAATTTTATAATGTTCTTGTAATAGAAAATTTTAAAGTGAAATTAATTGTTAGCTCTCGCATAAACTCTGTCTAATTTTATATGTAGCTATTTTTTAATACTTTAGTGGTTTCGAGGTCGCATTGGAAACCGGAAATCTCAATATGTCCGCTCTGACTTTCTGTGATTTAATTGATGCATCAAACAGTTATATCTTTTATTTTATATGTTAGAGATATTACTGAAGGTTTGTTTGTAATAAATATCTTAGAATATTTTGTGTTTTTAGCATTTTATCCTTCAGACAATTAGGATAAGGACTATAAGTGATGTAGTATATGTTTATATATTACAATACATTAAATCTACTTCATTTTTTACTTTTATTGTGTTTGAATATGTTTAATGCTGTAATAATGTGCTGTAAAATACTAAAACTATTTAATAAAGTGTATATTTCTTTATTAAATTTTACAAAAAAATATCATTTAATTATGTTACAGGTCAGGTGATTTTCATAATTATTTTAAGAATATAAGATGTCATCTAAAGAAAAAAATGTACTTAATTTGACTTTAAAAGTTTTGACGTAATTTAACATAAATTTATTGTAATAAATAGTATTTTTAATTTAAATAAAAATACATTTGTAGAGACAAAATATTTATTTTTGATAATAATAACGTTTATGAAAGCTTTGATAACATTTTTATTTTTTATTTATTTCATTATTAATATTTACGCTATTAATATTATATAGAAAACAGACACGTGGAAAACTGATGATTATAATATATTTTTTATGTTACAACATCTTCACGGAGCTTCTGCTCAGCTGCTATCTGCTTTCCAAATCATGCTGACCTCAAATAAAATTGGAAATTGGTTTAGAGGAATTTGGTGATCTTATTGTTATTAAGATATAAAATAAAACTTTAATAAGGCGTGATAATATAATAATAATATAATGTTCTACTACATTCAAACAACGCCATCTAGTCCCAAAATACACAGATTGTACTATGGGTACTGGACAACTGATATTAATACATACATACTTTTTTTTTGTAAATACATACTTATTATGCATAGAAACACCCAGACCAAATCAAACATTAAATGTTCATGCACACAAATGTTTGATTTGAGCGGGAATCGAACCCGCGACCTTTGGAATAGCAGTACGTTACATAAACCACTACGCCATCCGTTCATCAATAATATCTTGAAGGTTTCTTCATTCCTTGAAAAATGTCCCCCATCTTGTGGAATACCCCAGAAAATTACTGGTGAGTAGATTAGAAGATCAATTCTCGTATCAAAATATCATTCAAAATTCGACTCCAATCTACCTTCGATGTCGACAAAGTCATAAAACGTATTCTGATATAAAGTTGGAGTTAAATCGTCAGTGATCGTTGGATGTTTATTACTTAGAATTGTAGCTGTTTATTTTAACTAAATACATATATTACAGGTCTCACCACAGTTGCGTCAATTACTAAACTTGTGTGGTGATGGATTAAGAATACAGTGTCACTACATCTCCACACATCCATAGGGTGTCGTAAGAGCCAACTAAGGTAGCAAACTACGCAGGACAGCACACCTGCAAAGAGAAGGAAAACTTAACACAAACCCTATACCCACCCGTCTAGTCAGCGTGGTATACTCGTAGTAGGCCAAAACCTTCTTTCTATGGAGACGCTTATGTTCAGCAGTGGACTATTAACCCCGGCTATTAGTACCCGAGACGTCGTGCGGTTTCGCACGTAGTCGCAAGTCGGTTCGAGTCCAACACGCCACCGATATCCGGTGGTATCCCACGGATTTCCGCACGGAAAAAAAAAAGTGGACTATTAAAGGCTGTTGATGTGATATGATGTTAAATACAGTTGTGTCCGTAATGGACACAACTGTCGGTGGTTTATAAACTTATTAATAAAATCTAATAAAATTCTAATTTTAATCGTAAACTCAATATAAATTTGCACTCAAAATACTTACCCTTGTAATATTATTGTTAAATAATAATACGTAAAGAGGGGCTCGTGACTAAGTGGTAACTGAGTAGGTTAACACATTGAAAAGTTAAGCAATACTAGCCAGGTCAGTCTATGGATGGGTGCCCATTCTTAACACATTGAGTGCCTCGGAAAGCACGTTAACTAAGTCTGTTGTTGGAGCCCTAAAAAATTCGACACCAGTCTTTTCACAGAACTTCGATATCGCTTAGTACATGGGTTGTGATCTGATGGCAATAGCTCCACGTAAAAAATTGAAGTTCAACCATATCGTAGTAGACTTAAAACCAATCCCAACATAGTATTGCTTGGAGGAAGAAAGACTGCCTCGTCTATGAAAACTGCGTGAGGGTCTCTCCCGGTCGCCACGAAATTCGTTTCGCTTTTCAGTCATTACAACTTATATTGTAAGATATCAAATTAATAGAGTTCAATTGAAAAAAATACGAATGTGTTTACTATGTACTTATAAAATAAATAATGATAAATTAAAAAGAGTTAATAACAAAAAGCTGAAGAGAAGAGAGCCGTCGAGTCTTTTGGCGCGCGGGAGAGCTGTATGTGGCGATGTATTTATAGTACATACACGTCTGTGACTATAGCAATAAGTGTCGGAAAACAGTCTTATTACACATTTTTCGGTCTAGCTCCCATCCGCTCTGAGCGATAAGGAATTTCGTTCCAAAACTTAGGTCCAATAAAACACACGACACGTGCGAACAATACAATGCAATCCTTTTATTTGTATGTGGTCATAGAGCGAACACAGCAACGAGTGTCTAGGTCAGAATTATTATAAAACGATTAAATAATTGAGTACAAGTGTACATCGAATCGTGCCAGTGATGTAATATCACCTTAGTTTGTGAGTGAAAGTACTCGTGAATGATTTTGTTAAAGCCCCATTGCAACTTGTGAGAAAAAGTGGTGTACCGAGTCGCTAATGTGTATGTGTGTATGTATTACGCTTGAGTGTGTTGATGGACCGTTTTATTAACAAAATGGACGACGTTTTGGCTAGAAGCGTCAATGACTTTGATAATTGAACTGTTTATTTGAAAAATATAGCTTTTTTTAAGAGGATTCTTATTTGGATTTGTGTATTAATTATCCAACAACAATATTATTGTTTAATAAATTAATTTCATTTTTTAATGTAACGAAATTAGTTCAAATTTTTTATTTTCATTTACCATGATCACACTTGGATTTTTACTATGATTTGTTTAATTTTTTACTGTAAACGGTAATGTTCAACTGTACAAGTTTCCTTTTGTTAATGCGTGAGAGGTTAGAATATTAGTGAGCACTTCAGTACCGAAGATTTTAATTTGTTAAAGGTAATTTATGACTTTGACTGGACCTACTTAAAGTGGTAACACAATTTCTCTTTTCTTATTTTAAAAGACAACTCCCGCATTAGGAATATATCCTGTGTCACGGGGGACTTTAAAAACATACATGAAACAAACACAAAGAACATCCAGACTCAGAGCAACAATTTTTGTATCACACAAAGTGTCGCCCTATGTAGGGATCGGACCCACAACACTCGGCGTACTAGTAAGCGGCGTGGCGACCACTTAAGCCACTTCACCATCCAGTGCAGTAAGTTATTGCATAATGTACTCAATATTTTTTTATATTAATGAAAGCAGCATTATCTAAAATAAAAGAGGCCCTAACATACTCAGTAAATTTACGAACAACTTTAAAATTAAAATTTATGTACGTGACTCTTTCGGAGTAACTCATAAGTATGCTCTGTCTAAGGAATTACGAAACCTGAATAAGTTTTCAACATACCACGTATTTGGAACCATATTCATTACATCCGCATGAATTCCTTTACGTGATAATATGTCATCTACATCCTTCGGTTCTCCAAGTAGATGAGTATCTTCAGAGCCCACAATCTTGCGCCCCACTTGGCGACAAACAAGAAATTATTTAGAAAGCATGGTCCCATACGCTGACATCGATTGTTTGACCCCATTCTATGTGTTTTGGTGTAATACTTTATAGGGGCCATGGAAGAAATATTAAAACTTATGGAAAGATTTTTGTTATTGTTATTTACTGTCGATTAATAAAAAAACTTTGGCGATAGTTTTTGTTAATTTTTGGAAAACATTTTGAAAGGACATTTCATAAATTTTGAAATCAATTTCAATGATTTCGCTTGTTTTAATATGGTAAGATTATTGACGTATTGATAACGTCTAAAATAAGAACAGATAAGATCATATTATATATTCTATCAACATCAATTCAAAAAAATTAAAAATAAATAAAGTGAGTTTATGTTTTTAACTTCAAAATATCAACCTCTTAGCAAATGTATGTGTATATACGAAACTATTTACCAAAATTGTATTTCAATTTTTGTGTGCCTGTTAGTCTGTACCAACCGTCTGGCCAGCGTGGTATAGTAGGCCAAAACCTCCTTTCTAAGGAGAGGCCTATGTCCAGCAGTGGACTAGTATAGGCTGTTGATGTGTGATGTGATGTGATGTTAGTCTGTCTGTCGGTTTCTGATAATCACTGAAACGGTTGTATCGATTTCCATTGGAATATTATTATATTTTTATTTTATTATCATAGGAATT